CGTTTCGCCGGCATCGTCAGTGAGTTTTACCATTCTTAGCACCATATTACAACTCGTCAAAGAGACAAGTCTTGTCGGCGAAACGTCTGCGAATGTACCACGTCCACGGTCCGACTTTGCAAATAATTATGCATACAATGGACTCAGGACAAGGTGCGTTTCTATAAGTCTTGCTACCATCATGACCAAGTTGCTCAAACAAGGTCAAACAACTTCTAAACCTTTAGTGTTTCCAGTTGCTCCAGCACTTTCTTATCCCAGCTTGTCAAAACTAGCCCTTGTTCCATCTTCCCTATCCTGTGTCTCCATGACGCACTTCTCAGCCTGCCTCCACCAATCACAGTACCTCGACGACTCGTCCCTCTCTCTCCAAGACCTCTCACTAGCCAGGCTACCTGCTGGACTTAATGATCAACTTCGGATGGAGTTCGTCCTCTTCCCTTCAATTTGCATTAATGCCTCTCGCTGTAGCAGTCGTTAGGCCAAATCTGAGTCGAACTCGATTACTGTCGAGCGTCTGAGAGACAAGTACATAAGCCGATTTGTACATGTGCACTCTTGGGTGTGCAGCTCCATTCAAGTTTTCTGACAAGACCGTCAGGGTGTGGTATGAAGACGGCTAATTTATGCACATTTCAACATAATAGTCCATCGCTGTAGGAGCACTGTTTCACGAGGCGCATCAGTACAGGTTAAACGGAACTCCTGACCACTTGGAAGGATCGATCCTCCCGAGCTGTCACAAGACCAACCAACCCGACCCACTCTCACCATTCACTTGGACCCGCCTCGAATACAGACAACACCGGGACCATCGCAACCATCGCGACCACCGCGTTTGGCACCGGTTGCGTCAACAGATGCCTCAGCTACTGAGGCGAGGCTGCAGCCCTTCTGACGCCAATCAGAGAAGCAGCGTTGCCAGGCCGGCGTACTTTACGCCATGACAACTGAAATAGTCATGTTTAAGCCCGCATTAGCCGTCGCCTCCTTCCTTGTCGGGCTGTGTGCCTACGTCGGAGGCCCCAAGACCAGACCGAGTCTGCTTTATCGCCAAGACACTAAATCAGCTCACGTCAGACTTGGCGGTGAGGCTGACTAGACTCAATCATAATCTCGCCTGGTTGCCTAGGCGGTCAGGCCAATAAAAACGCCAAGTCAAGTGGACTGCACCGTCTACATGTCCTCTCCTGCCCACCCTTTTCTGCGACTCCATAGGTGATGGCAGAGTCTAAAGAACAGACTGGACTCTGGGCAGAAGAAGCAGAGGAAGCGAGGTGTGAAGTAAGAAAGGATGGGGTGGGATGAATGGGGGTAATGGGAGGGAGGGGCAGGGAGCCGAGGAGAAGATGAGGCGAAAGACGGTGTAAATGACACCAACTGCAAATGAAGTTGTCACGCGATTGAGACTCTTTAATAGGCATCCAAAGTGTTGAGGACAACGCCAACGATGATGATTTTGGCTGGGTTCAGTGATTGAGGTAGAATGTCAGTGCACTGTTCTGGAGGCCAAGACGAACCTTCTTGGTAAATTGGCTCTTTAGACAACCAGACATACATACACTCATTCATACATATATACATATAGACAGACAGGCAAAAAGGGAGGGAGGGAGGCGAGGGGAGGGAGGAGGAAAGAAAAGGCTTTATTTCAGCTCTCTTCACGACCGGCTCGTGCCATGCTATTGCCACAGTTTTGAGTTCATCTGTTAACTTGTATAACCACCTTATTTGGCTGTAAGACAGGGGCTGATGCCTCTGACGGTGCCAGTTCTGGAGAACACCAAATCGGCCTGGCTCGCGTAACTGCGCCAAGTAGAGAAATGAAATGAGATTGAGGCTTTCGCCACTTTTAAAGATGGCCGCTTTGGCCTACGGTTGAAGGTTTTTATGTCGGTTTCTCGTCCAAAATCATTGAGTCCGTTCGTGCTACAACCGTCTTGTCTGCTAGAATCAGATCTCCATTTCCGGTGACTCAGTCTGACCCTCACTTTACAGAGTTATGCCAAAGAGTCAAGCGGTCTCCAGGCCATGTGGCGCATCACTACGTCCGTTGTAGTAACTAAGCCGGGCAAAGTCTCTCTTTTTGGTCCCTTAGGTCAGGTGAAAAGAGGGAGGAAGCATCGTCAGAAGATGAACCAACATTGATAGAAGAGTTGTTTGACTCTGTTTTCGCAATTTGGTCATATTGGTAGGAAGACCTAGAGGAATTCACCTAGTCCGGATATGGAAATTATCATGCATACTATGGACTCCGGGCAAGGTGCGTTCCTCTAGGTCTTCCTGTCAATATGACCAAGTAGCGAAAACAAGGTCAAACAACTTAGATACAACGAAAGAGACTGCGACCATACAAAAAACCACGCCATCTTGGTCTCCATACCAACATTGATATAATCTGGATAGGAGATGTATCACCCTATTTTGTTTAGAGTGATAGGGAAAAGGGTAATTTTAGTTTCCCGCATTGCAAGGCAAATGTACATTTCAAGAAAGGCCAGGCATTTTGCCATATCACATTTTGTTGGGATTTTAGATAATCAAACTTACATTAGCTATGGCAATCTAGGACATTACATATTTTTCGTTCATAAGTGGGTTTTTACCTTAAACCAAATCGGGTCAATACATTTCATACATAAATGATCTACTGTTATTCTCGAAAACCTACTTATACACGAAAACTAAGCAACGTAATCGACTGCTATAGCAAATACAAGTTTGCTTCATCAACAACCCCACCACAGAATGTGATATGGCAAAATAACTTGTCTTCCTTTAAATTCTCATATGCCCTGTAGCACTCGTGAAAGTGCATCTTAGTGATTAACGTGCCGAGATCATACGCTACAATGTCATGATTTGAGTCCCACTGAGGCGTCGATAAGACCCAGGCGAGGTCGAAACTCCAGTCCACCCTAGAAAAGAATAACTTTTGCGGAATCAAGGCTGTGTGAAGATGAATGGAAATGTTTGGTCTACGCATATCATCGAGGGGAAATTCAGCTACCTGTCACCTTGTCACCCTAAACGAAATAAGATGATTCCATGTCATATTTATATATGATCTACTGATAGACTCAAAAGCCTTATTATAAACAAAAAATAACCTGCGACCATACCAGAGGGCACAACATCTTGGTCTTCATATCATCAACCAGTATGACGTCGAGAAGCCGGTTAGATTAATGAAATCCAATGTGAATCGGTGAACTTAGAGTACCATTCATCTTAGGTCGTATAAGGTGATGAAAAAGACTGATAGTTGAATTTTTCCAGCAATTCTATGAGTAATGAATTTTTGTTAAGGAGACCTTCATTTCGAATGAAAGTACATGATGAAGTTTAGTATTAATGTGAGACTCTTACAAGAATGAAACCCAGCTCTGATGATGTCCATCATGTA